GGCTGTTGAAACCAAAAAAAAAGATTGTGAAAAATTTGAAATCTAAAACAGCAAAAAAAACTGATAAAAACTTACAAACAACCGATTCTTCTTAATTTTCAGATCTTTCGATAGGCACCTTAATTGATAGATTTTTTCTGCAAAAAACTTTAAAGGTCTGATCTCTAACCAACAGAAAAAGTAATTGCTTAAAACCTTTCTCAAGAATTATTAAACTTAGGGACTTAAAAACTGTTTAAATAGAGCTAGAAAATTATATACAAAAAAGTTCTTTGAGCAGCCAATTAGTTCTAATAATTGAGAAAATAAGTCTTCACAATCCAAATCACGTTGCTCCAAAAATAATCAGGAATTTGATCAATTCGAAAAACTTGGCAATAAGTTGAGAATTTTTAGCGCAATTCTAGCTATTTATTGAAAATTGTATCAAGTGTCTTCAAGAAAGAAGTTTCGATTAAGTTGTGTAAACTACAAAGAAATCTCGGTTCGATGCTTTTTTCGCAAACTTTAATTTTTGTAGAAAAGAAAAAAAAGCCCTTCAATAATAACTTTGATTAAAATGAACTTTTCAAAAACAATTTGTCAGTGTTGTGATAAAAAAGTTTGAACAGTTTTGAGTTTCATGTTCTCGATTGGACGCTAAATAAGTGTCAAGATTGGTTTGAGCTCAAACGCAGCCCAATTTGAATTTTTTTCTAAGATTTTTTAATTTTTTAAGTTATGTTTGCTGATATCCAAATTAGGAAAAAATTAAACCCCCAGAAAAACAAAAAAAAACAAGTTTGATAGAAAGTGTTTTTTGTTTTTCACATGCTTTTCAGTTACGTTTATCATACTAGCTGTTTTGAATTTTCACTCACCTTTAATGTTGACAGCACTGAACAGCACCAAAAACAGCAGAGCTGCGATACAATTGAGAATGAACGTTACGACGGGTGCAGTATAGAAGGACCAATATTTCTTTTTCTGTCTCTTAAATCGGTCAGCAAGTGATGTTTTCTGGCTCCGCTGGTTCTCGAAGCAGGCATTTCAAATTGCTTCCTACTAGTTTTTTGGTTAAAAAAACAATTATGCAGTTTCTAATTGGAAAAAAGCTATCAAAAACCTAACTTTTGCATGAAAGATGCCCAAAGTTTGACTCTTTTCACCTCTTTCATTTTACTTAGATATTATTTGAGAAAAAAAATAGCTGCAAATCAAATCATTCATAAACGCGTTGAAACTTTTTTTTGCCGGGAAGATTACACTCATGATTGGAATATAAGTACCTATTTGAAAGACAAATCCCTGCCTGCGGTTCATTGACATTTTCGGATGTCTTTTTTCGTTGGTCATCTAACTTTGCTTTCTCTGAGGAATCATCGTCATCAAACAATAGCAATATGACAAAAATAGGCAGCAATGTAGCTCCTATAATTTTCCAAACATGATTGCGATCGCTCACTTCGCCGAGCCAAAATTTCCGGAATAAAGTCTGGCAACCGTCCTGAGCAAGGAAACTCCTGCAATGTGCTTGAATGGCCAAGTCGAGGCACGTTTTTTTGCCCCAAGAATCATGCTCGACTTTTAACATGCTGTGACAGTGTTCGGCGTTCACCTTGTAACAATTGTTCATGATTTCTTTCGCTTTTTCTTCATACGTTTTACTCAATATTTCGATCCGACACTGCAAGTCCATGTCAAGACTTGCGGCAGTCGATTTCAAGATTGTCTTTAGAACTAATGCAGCAAAAAGCGCCGCTGAAGTTTTACATGGCAACATTGTCCAGAAAAACTCGCTGGCCTCTGAGCGAGCAAAGACAATTGAATAAACAAAAAGGTCAATGTGTGGTTGCCTTTTTCTTGAGGTAAGCGTTGAGGTGGATGATTCAGGTGTGCCTTTCAAACATTCAGGTGTGTAATCTGTGTTCGTAAACATCCTAATGGCATCTTGAATACTTTTCAAGGAAGGCTGATTACATTTTTGTATATCGCTTATTTTCAAAACTTTCTGCAAATACTTTTCCGACGTTACTAACTGTAAAGAATCCTTGTAAAGCTTCGCAAGTTTTTGTTCAGTTAAAAACGTATCCCAGTTCACGAATTCAGCAAAAATTTTCACGAATTCTATTTTGTTTCCAATCAAAGAATTTTCTAAAAAATTTTCGATAGAAGTCATCTTGTCGGTTGATTCTTTTATTATCTGACTCGCTAAAATTTTTTCAGCAATTTTGGGTTGATTCCATTTTATGGATAGACTCAATTGATTTTCAAATACTTCCCGTTGCTTCTGTTTTGCCCGCATCTCCAGAAAAGTCTGCAAAATTGCATTACCAAGGTCGCCTGGATAAAAAATAAATAACATAAAAACATTAATTGGCCAAAGTTTCTACTAAGTAGCAAAAAAAACCATTCACGTCGAGAGTCTCGATATTTAAAAAATCTTCAAATTTTGCGAGCTCACATAATTGTAGACAAACCAATTACTTTTTTTCACTACATTTTCGTCACTAAAATTACTGACCCCTAGATGGCTGTGGATGCAACTAACTGCTGAAGTTCACTTTTTATTTGTTTTTTTTAGTTAGAAGTTTTTGAGGCTTTGGGGAGGGTGCTTAAAAAACTACAATAACTAAATAGGTACAAATAGCGGCAGTGTAAAAGAACAAGCCAAAAAATCGTTAAAATGTTTCTAACTCTAATTCGAGCTTAATCTTTCATTTTCGGTTTGAAAGCCTCTTACCAGATAGAAAACACTAAGTACAATCAACCGAGTGAATATTTCTCATTTTTCAAAAACCTCAACGTTAATTTAGGACTAGTAATGAGAAAACAAATTTTGTGATAGCTCGTTTAATGGTATTTTGAAAGCAAAATTAAAATTTGTTCAATAAATTGTTCTTCCATTAATGTTTTTCCAGAAAAAAGTTAAAACCGAAATTTTTTTTGATTAACTTGAATCAGTTTGCAAATATCAAATGCAAAACAAGGCGCTGAAATCGCTGTTTCTCATATTTGCTTTTCTCCAGCAAAAAATGACCGAGCTAAAAGTTTAGACGCTGAACAGTTAAATCTAAAAACTTTTTCGTGAAGGCCATTTTATTGAATACTGAGTTTAAGCCAGCTCAGCTTTCTCATAGATTAATTCGGATAAGGTACACCTTCTGTTCGTCACGCTATCTTATTATTGGCCGGATAGATTCGTGCAACTTCTTAGTCTAATAGCAATGTTCATCTTACTCTTATATCTCCTAGTCTCAATAGATCTAGTGTATACTGGTATTTGGGGGGTCAGGTTTATGTAACTTGTTCAAAGGAGAACAACTGTCTTCTAAGATTTTTTCAAATTGTTCTGGTGCTGAAACTACAAGTAGTTTCTGCACTACAAATAAATATCAGTGTTAGTGATGGAGTATGATTGGTTAGTTAGTAATATTTTATACGGACAGTTTTATCAATGATATAAATGGCTTTAAATACTAGTTTAGAACTTGTTCGACCCATCCGGAGCTTAGAGAGTTTTTAGTTTCTTAATTGTGTATTGCAGTGCAGGACGGATGGAGAGATTTCTTTTTCTTTGGAGTAGTTTTCATTCGAGAGGTTGGAGCAGTGACTTCGTGAAGGAAGGAGAGATGTAGTTGTTGTTGTAGAGAGAAGAAGGAGAGTTGTTCGCGTTTCAGAAGTGAGTCTCGTTTGATCGTGGGTCGTCTTGAGTGATTCAATAGTGAATATTCCGTAATATGAGGTGATATTCCAGATGCGTTTTAGTTCGTGCTCAATTGTTTGTCTTGTAATTCTTACTTCGGGTAATTCCTGGGTGCATGGGCTTTTTCCTTTTTCGAATAAGTGTGCAATAAAATTGTGACAAAATTGTACTTGTCCTCTAGCGGGATCACTGTGTGGATTGATGACAAAAGGAAGTATAGAGTCTTCGTCGAATTTTTTGTCGTATTAAATCATTTTCAAATTTAGTACTGTTGAGGCGTAACTTCCAAAATGTCTCATTTGCTGATTCCAACTATATAGTCGTACTGGTTTACAAATGTATGATTATTTTAATGTGCGCTTACCTTCTATCGATGATAGTGTTGTGGTTTCTGATTCAGAAATTTTTTGGCCTTTTGCTGGGTTGTTTTTATCTTTTGAGGCTTTTAGATTCTGAACTTCTTGTATTGTACTTAAATCTGATTCCGAAACTGCGTTACGTGATTTCGAAAAACTTCGTTTTATAATTTCTTTTTGTTCTGCTAAAATTTTCTTTTTCCGTGTTTGTCTTTTTGATCTAATATATCCTATTGTGTATTTATGTGATGTAAATACAAGATCATATCTTTCGTCTTGAATTAAACATTAAACATTTGTGTAGTATTATTGTTTGTGTACTACCTAAATTATCTCTTGACATAAGGTTTAGGATGAGGGATGCAAAAGCCAGGGGTTACAGTTTTATTTCCTAATTGGTTAGTTCTTTAGTTTTTGTGGGTTATCCTAAATTTGGGGCTTACATTGTCGGAATTTAAGGGTTGGAGACAGAGTATACCAGTTCGTTAGAATGATGTTTACTTTCTCTTGACTAAGTTTTATTTTAGGACTAAGTTTTTTACTTGGGAATTTGATTTGAGATGGAGGGTTGGAGAAAAGTAAATCAATCCACAAGGTTCAGGAATAATTAGAACACAAGCAAATTGTTAGATACTACTTTAAGACTTACGTATATTATAATGGTTTTAACTTGAGTCAGGTAAGAGTGAGGGCTCAAGTGAAGGATGAGTAACCGAAATTCTTCACTGTTTATCCTAATCATAATGGTTAGTTTGCTAAAAAATTCTCTTAGTCCTGACTATTTGGTAAGGATTGGAGAGTGAACCCACGTTTGAGGTTGTTAGACACTTTTAATTATGAGGTGGGGAGAACAAAGTTGTTCTGATTGGTCTCAGGGAAGTCATGATGATCAAACAATTTGAATAAAACAAAACTTTAATTCAAGCATAAATATAAAGATCCAAGGAAAGCCTCGATGATCTGTTTTTAAATGAAAATTCAATTATCGAAAAGCAGCAACAGACCTTGATAAATTTTCATATACAAAGTTTAGGTTGAGGAATGTTAATAAATTTAAAGATTTGTATAGGAGTTATGATTTTAGATGATGTTAGTTTTTGAATAAATTTGATTACGTTTTAGGTGATGAAGCGAGAATGAAGAAAAATTGAGCTCTCGAGAAGCATGAAATCTTTATTGTTTTAATAAAACTAAATTTAAATTTTGTACTGACTGGTTTTTTTTATTCAATAATGTTTCAATCTACAAAAATTTTTATAAACAAATTACAGCAGATTTCGATAAAAAAAGAGTACTTACGTGTTTTTTATCAGTCTTTATTGTTCTTATTTTATATAGCTATAAAGCACCAAGAAGTTCAATGAAGAAAATTAAATTATTGCTCCAAGTAAATTTATTTTCATGTCAAAGAAAGAAAGTCTATTGCATGGATGATTTTGAGTGCATATACTTTTTGCGGTTTGCATCGTACTATCACATAGTGACTTGAACCGTTGTTCAAGCGATGTTCACGTAATGACCTGGTCCTTTGTTCAATACCTGGTATTTGCCTTATTGTTTGAAATATCGGCCTAGATTTATTGAGATGTAGAGACTTTTCTATTAAATTGTCTATTCGATAAACCATTAGCAATTTTGCAGTTTTGGTCTTATTTCTAATTCTAATATGCCAAATCTAAGTTTTTTAATAGGTCTTGTTCCAGATTTTGGTCGCACCAGACGAGTTTAAGCCATAGGTAGCCTTCTCATAGAGTAATTTCAGATAAGGGACACCGTTTGTTCTTCACGCTATCTTATTTTCGACCGGATAGATTTGTGCAAATTTTTTAGTCTGATACTAGTCTTAATCTTACTCTTATATCCCCTAGTCTCAAAAGATCTAGTGTATACAGTAATTTGCGGATTAGGTTTATGTAACTTGTTCAAAGGAGAACAACTGTCTTCTAAGATTTTTTCAAATTGTTCTGGTGCTGAAACTACAAGTAGTTTCTGCACTACAATTAATTGTCAGTGTCAGTGATGGAATATGATTGGTTGGTTAAATCAGCTATTGATTTTGACGCATTATGGGAAAAGTCTTATCATAGTCTCTCAAATAATTAATACAAAACACCTAGCAGCCGGTTGCCACGGAAAGCTATGAACATGGTCATTTTCCAAAGTAGTTCGACTTACAATTTAAAATGCTTCAGTATGATATGTGACTCAACCTAATCCAATCCTTATTTTTTTTTGCCTGATTTTGCGTGAAAAACAAAAAAGTAACAAGTGAAAAATTAAAAACCGAAATTTTCTCAAATGATTCGAACAACACCTAAAGTTTTGATTTTTTTTTTGCCTATGACACCAACCAGGGCTTTCGAAAGAAATGGATTTCTGAAATAGATTCAACTAGAAATCTTGTTTTCCAAATATTTCCCAAAATTTCAGCATACAGTGAATACAATTCACAAACAGTGAATACAATTAAAGTGTTGTTTACCTGCATAGTCTCCGTCGTCTTCATTAAACTCGAAAATGCGGATTTTGCTCAGCGTTTTCAAACACTCAATCAACCAATCCACACACTCTTCCAACTGGTCTGGTGAATTCTTCAGTTTCAAGTCACTCTCTGCTTTTTTTTTAATCAGACTTCGAACTTTTTTCTTTTCATCGTCTTTGGGGTACTTCTCCTTCATTTTAACCGCATAAGCCAGCACATCAGCGGCCCTCCCCGATCCATTGATGATCACACAAGGGGTGTTGTTCTTTAGAGCATTCCTGACTGTATCAATAGATCCTTTCCCCCCCTCGACCATTACACAGACGATTGGGATTTCGAATTCTAAATTGAAATTGTTACCAATATAAAATGAAACATAGATGTTTTTCACATTTCAAAGAAAACATTTTTTTAAATCAAAATCAAGTGAACTAGAACGGATGATTACCAAAAAATGAAACAAAAACAATATCGTGAAATTGTTCGATACCATAATTAGAACCAAATTTTTGACAATTGAATTTTTTTTTTCGTTTTCAGTTTTAGCACAATTTTTCTAACACGAACTGAAAAAAAAAATGTGAACTAATTTACCTTTTTCTCCATCACTTTTTTCATTAACCCATTTTGTGTATAACTTTTTCTCGATCTGGCCTCTCAGTTCTTGTTCTTTACCGAACTCATCGGTTGATCCGTCGTCCACGAAAATGAAGTGTGTGTGATTGGGGTCAAGTCCCACCCCCTTGAAACAACAGGTGATTCGAATAAAATTTATATACACTTTTTCACAATTTTTACTCAGATATCAAATCTTGTCATCATCTTGTAAAATTTGAAAACACTTTTTCGATTTTTTTCCTCAGATATCAATTCTTGTCATATTTTTTTTTTCACAGAAAGTTTTGAATTTGTAAATAACATATTGCAATGTTGAGGTGCATTTTTTCCGATGACTCTTTTGCGCTGTGTATACAAAAAAAATGACGATTCGAGATTTTTCATCTTAGTTTGACAATTTATGTTAATAGTATACTAGCATAAAAATTAAATTTCATGTATATAGAGTTGCAAAAGGGAGTAAGAATGCTTGGCCAATTATTTTTTTTATTTTTTACTCGGTGTGGGTAAATTTTTATTTTAGTTTTAAACTATTTCCAACTGGTTTTCCTAATGTTGTCTAAAAGGTGGTTCTACAAGGTTGAATAATGCAATTGTTGAGTAGTTCATCTAAATTTTTATCGTTTTTTAAGAAGTGTATGTTGTTAGGAGAATACAAAAATTAAAAAAAAAAAGAAGCATAAAAACAAAACTTGTAAGGAAAATTATATTGCTTATGATGGAACTAAACAATTTTTCCGTAACTTTTGACGGTTTTGAGAATCGAGTGGATTATAATTGTCGCTTAATTTTGCGTCGTTTTTGAATCAACCGAGCTCTTTTTGAAAAAAGTTTTAAGCGGAAATTACAAAACCGCTAAATTTTTAGAGTCAGATAAAGAACAATAAGGTTAGAACAAAAAATACGTAAAAATTTGATATGGTTTAAATCAAAAAAAGGAAGAACAATAAAAACATGGAACAAAATTACATAACAATCTAATAATGACCATTTTTTTTCTGTTTTTTTAATTCGTCCGGAGAACAAGCTTCTGATGTAACTTTGAGACTGTAGCTTCTGATGAGTGTGCACTGTCTCAAATACAATAAACAAAAGCTGTTCGTTGAATATTTTGAATAAAAAAATCCCAATCCTGAAGAAGTATATCACAAGAGACTATGCCGCTCTCAAAGTTGCCAAAAGACGGCAACGCAATGATTAGTCAAAATTTTTTGAACGATTTTCGATCTCAACGAGATGCTCAAACCTGAGTTTTTGGATTTAGACAACTTCAAAACTTATATGGAAAGCAATTAAGGGTCAGTGCAATCATTTAGAGCCTTGCCTCGATATGCGAGCAGTTTCGATTCTAGGGCGAAAATCATTTGATAATCACCTGCTCTGATAATACTTTGTTTAACTTTTTGAAGAAAAAACAGTTTCTGACACAGTTTTTCACTTGAAGTATAAACAAATATCTCCTTCTGTATAATTTTTCCCACTTTCTTAAAGAAAGTAACGGAATAGTTGTGCTCGGGGTTGTTTTTTTCTTCATACAAAATTTGGTTTTAGCTAGCGATTTTTTTGATAGAATGTTCAAAAATCATTCAAAAAGTATTGTTGTCCTCAGCTCAAATTTCGAAAGATATATCCACATGTGACTATTTTTCGTGAAGTAATCGGCGTTTAATGATTGCCATTTAGGCTTTTTTTAAATTTGGGATAATTACACCGCGAGATAATTCGCGTTATTAACGCATCGGTGGATATTTAACCCGTATTAGAATTTATTCCGAATTGTTTGAACAAAAATTAGTGGACTTAATTGTTTTAATACTTGTAGCAAAATCTTTCACTTTGAACACAAATGGACACAAAAAATCTCAATTTAATTTAAAGTATTTAAATATTTCTTATATTTAGTTTTTCATGTTGTTACATCTCCGTAGACCTTAAAAGGCAGTCGGAACATTCAGGGTTCCACCCTGATACGAGCAATGTAGTTTGTTTTTCCAATTCATTATGATCCAAAAAAAATAATTGTATGGCAATTTAAAAATCTAAAATTTTGCCTACAGTATAACTACTTGGAATAACTCTAAGACTTTGGTGTTTTGTGCAGATCAAAAAATTGTTTTTCATCTGACTTCCTTAAAGATTGACATTTAGGCCTTTTTTAAACTTTGGACAATTCCCGCGCGATATAATTCACGCTATTAACGCATCTATGGATATCTAATCCGTATTAGAAACTGTTCCAAATTGGTCGAACGAAACTTTTTTGACTCAATTGATTTGTTTCTTGGAGCAAAATCTATCACATTGTACTTTATATGGACACAAAAAATCTCAAATTAAGAAAAAAATTGTTTACTTTTACATTTAGTCTTTCATTTTATTACAGCTCCGTATAACTCAAAAGGCAGTCGGAACATTCAGGGTTCCATACTGATACGAGCAATTCAGTTTGTTTTTTCAATCCAATATGTATCGAAAAAAGTTTTGCGTGTCAAAATAAAAAGTTAAACAGTTGCTTACAGCATAGCTATTTGGGATAACTTTAAACACTTTGGTATAATGTGTAAATCGAAAAATTGTTTTCATTGTGACTCGTTAAGATACAACATGATAAAAATCAATCTATGGGTTCTTATCAGGTCAAACTAAAACATCATTTTAGTTTGGGTTGTTATCAGTTTAAATCCGGATCCGCTGGTGATGTCCGTGAAGTTAATCATGATAATAACAAAGTATTAGTCATGAAGATTTTGATAACAGTAACAAATAAACAAATTCATGCAGAAAAAGGTACAAAAATTCATTATAAATCATACTGTATTAGAAGTTGCGCAGACTCGGAGATCGCCAATCTGGTTCTCAGTTTACCTTATCTGGTTTTGGATAGCCTGTCTTATGCTCCTTAGTTTTAGGTTTGGGCGTCAAGTACTCATCGCGACCAGGAATTGTTCCCCATGTCGCTATCCCAATTGCAACTGTTTGGTTTCTGTAAAACGAACAAAGAAATAGAAATCATTAAACGTTTCTTGATGATTATTACATTTTTTGACGATTTCCTGTGTAATTTTAATTGGTATTTTGGTTCTAACTTTTTATCAGGCAAGGAAAAGTAACTCAGTTTGTTGTCCCTCACTGCTTCCCCGCATATCTTCATGATGCCAGCATTTGTTCCCCCAGTAATTAGCCAAGCACCTTCCGTAGCCACTACTCTTTGTAGACCTTGTTTCAGCTTGTCGTGGTACTATCAACATTAAATGTATAAAATAATTTCTTCTTTGAGAAGTTGAAATCTTTTTACAAAATGTGACAGCAATTAATTATAAAACCAAATGAGTCTTGTTCCAAAAGTTATGAAAGTAAATGATCCAAGTATGATCTCGAAACAAGCTAAATTTATCATTTCGCCAATTGGGTTTGAAGATATGTGGGATATTATTGATATTCTTGCAAATAAAAAACCAAAATTGCAACCGGCTGAAATAAACTTTTATACGGATTAGATTTTGGGCAAGTATAAACGATTGTATGAAACCCAATAAGACAGTAAAAAGGAGAATATCATGGTTTAATGAATTCAAACCAATTGATTAAATGTCTAAAAAAGAGTTCTTTTTATCTAAAGAACGCTTTGTTTTCCTGTAGAGTTACCTTACCGTATATGATCTGTACAAAAGTGATTTATTGTTTAAAAATTGGATTGGTTGTTTTTTTTTCAAAACTAGGATTTTTTAAATAGCCTTCTAAAAATCAAAAAGAAAATTCGTCATCTTCATAATTTATTTGATTGATATTTTTTGGCCACAAAATATACAAAAGCTAGACACAAGAAAAATTTTTAGAGGAGTTTTTAGAGGTATGTTAAAATAGGAATTTCTAGTAAAGCAGGTTCGAGTGTTTTAGATTTTCATACAAATTATTAACTCACCTTTTTCCTCATGTTGAAGTCCTTTGCTCCACCCGTCACAGATACGATCAACGAAGGCTTCGGCAGATGCCATTTTCCATGAATTGTTTCATTAACCAAAGTTTCAACTTCTTTCTCATTCATTGCGGCATCAACTCGAACAAAAGGAGATCCACAGTTAAACTTATCAATTGGATTATCAAACAAAACAACTCCTGATTGTTTTACAAATTTCGCAGATGATCGGGCTGATATATCTGGTTCAACCATTAGTTGTACCTGTTCAACTGATGTTTCAACGTGCGATGTACTAATTGGGTTGATTGCTGACCCCAGCTGTTCCGGGTTCGACCGTGTTCTTTTTTCCGAAGGGTAACTATTGAGCTCCATAACTATTCGAAGTTACTAAGTTTTCAAGAGAACTAAACTTAAAATGAATAACACCAATCAGTATTTTGTCCAGGCTTGTTTTTTGGCTACCCGGGTTGACCAAAACTTCTTATCATACAATTTCCATATATGAGAAACTTCTTGTCATACAATTTCATACAATTCCATACGTACAGAAAATTGTATGAAAACTCTATGATAAGCATTTTTCCATATATGAAAATTGTATGATAGGTGTTTTCCCATAAACCAAAAATTTTGATTTTTTCTTTCTAAATTTAGTTTCCGAAAAATTTTCGGTTGTAGTTGCAACCGAACACATGTGACAAAGACCTTGGTTACTCAAAACACCAAAGGTTGGACGGTCTTGCATTTACAATGCATAGAAAACGACCTGAATTTGGCTGTCTTTCACAATTGATATAACAAAAGTAACAAACTTATATTTTTTGGCAAAATTTTTTAATGATGATTATATTAAACTTTTGAATTTTCAAATTATCAGACATTGATCAAGGCGTACATTAATACCCCATACAAAAGAAAGAGGAATTTTCAGCGTTTTTGAAGAAAAAAAATTATATGAAAAGAAAATAAAAGCCAATTTTATCGTATCCAGGACTACGTTATGCACACAAAATATTGAATTTTGCATGCAAAAATTTTTTTCGAAAAATGTTTGTTTGCGTACGAAAATCGATTTGCGGTTGAAAAAAAAACTAAAAATTTTTGGGTCAAATTTTCAAAATTACTTGAAAAATTTTTTGTGTCGCCATCAAAAAAATGCCAGTCATACAATTTCCATATATGGGAATTGTATGATAAGCATTTTTTTCAAAAAACGAAAACCTCAGTTTTTTATCACCATATTGTTTTATAAGAATCAAACAGCCACAGAAATGAGTTTATACCTGTTTTCAACCATTTTTAGAAATTGTATGAAAATTGTATGACAAGCATTTTCCGACACACTTGATGTATGGAATTGTATGATAAGCATTTTCGGTGTATGGAGGTCAACCCGGGTAATTTAGAAGTGAATGGTTATTATACACTTTCGCTTGATTAAGCCTGTTCAGCTTTTTTTGTACATTTAACATATCAAATTAAACGCGAGTTTTTCGCTTAACGTGGTAAGTTAGCTGGACAATTATTTCTGAGAAATGCTAGATAGAGTAAAAATGCGTTGCTTTATCAACAAACTCTTAAAATGCTCGCGATATCGTTAAACTTTTCTGCCATAACGTGATTTACAATTGCCAATAAAATTCGAAAAATCTTGCTCATAATGTTCTCATTTTCAGCACCACAAAGTTGGCGATACTCTCAAATAGCCTCTCGAATAATTCTCAAGAAACTCTCAATTAAGTCTCTCGACTTGCTGAAGACGTAGTTTAACTCGAATAGCAGATCTAAGAAATACCAGCTGCAATAATATGTGAAGTTTTAAGCTTTGGCTATAACGTGATGGAAGCTTGAGCTTTGGCTACAACAAGACTTACCATAGAATGCAAAATCATCTGTTAAATTTTTCACGTCTTTTCAAGAGAAAAACTCAGAATAAGTGGTAATTTTTATCCTCAATACGTTTTCTTTTCATAGGTTATACTTGTTTTCAATAGCTTGCCTTTCAATAAGTTTTCTTTTCATGATATGAAAGCAAAATTTTTTTTCTATACTTTAACTAGGCTGAGATTTTTTCTTGTTTTCATCGCAAAACCAGGTAGCGCCAGGGGCGGATCTAAGATTTTCCCGGATCTAAAATTTTAGAAAAAATAACAGGCTAAAAAGGCGTTTTTAGGAGTTTTTTTAAGGAAAATTTTATATTTTCGGTGTGCACTCCCCCTCAAAATTAGTATATTTTGGCGCCAAAGACACTTTTAGAAAAAAATTTTAGGGTCAGTCAGCCAAAATTAGATCTCTTAAAATAGTACCAATGGGGGACTCTTTGGGTCGACTGGGGGCCGAATCCCTGAAAAGGGCGTCCGCCCCCGCTCCCTCCCTAAATCCGCCCCTGGGTACCACAAATAATCATCTGACTGGGTTGAGTGATATATCATATTAAAACCCTTACCTTTGTGACTTCAACCACAAAAATTGCCAAGTTCATGAAAAACAGGTTTGAAATTTTTGATTTTTCGTATTATTAAAACAAGCAAATAAAACGAGCGAGCAGTCTTGTTTTATTAGCTTAAAAGCTTACAATAGCTTAATATGAAAAAAATTTTGAGTAATGTTAGTTTATTTTTTAGCGCCTTTCTGGAATCTACTTTTGCAAAAATTCAAAAAAAAACTGCAAAACTTTTAGATTTCTATTTGTTTTTCAAGTAATTTTTTACAAAAACTGTTTTCCAATTTGCTTTCTTTACTACGACTGTCGAATATAACTAATCTCCAGTTTTTTTCCGATCATTTTATCGCACCAAGCCGAACAAAAAACTACAATAACTTGAAAAAGCTTTGTTGTATTTTTTTAAGTCTATGGTCGGAACATTCTGTGCTACTTGCACTGTAAACAGCTATCCTTGTTTTAGTTTGGCTTGGCTTTTTTCACTAAACAAAAACTTTGAATTTTTTTTGTATCCAAATTTGATTTAAGAAGAAAGCTCGGCTTGCTTCGATTTGTTTCTGTGCAATCAAAAAGAAGCCGTGTAATTTAAGTATAATATTTTTTCAAAAGTGAGTGAAAATACATTAATTTTGAAACTGTTCTTATCTGGCAGATTGAAGTGACAGAATTATACATTTACTGTATGGGTAGAGCAATATCTATTTATCCACCCAAATTACGTATGTCGACAAAAAATTTGGTCGACCATAGTCGAAACGTATGTGAAACAGAGTCGGTCAGTTTCGATACATCAATCGATATACGTGAGTCGAAATACATGATTCCAGGTAAATGAGTCAATGTCGTTACACATGAGTCAAAACATAAGTCGTTTCATAATTCGACTGGAGTCGAAACAAGAGTCGACACATAAATTGACCAGGGACGATACAATAGTGACCAGGTTCGATGTATGGTTCGATCAAATTCGACATATGAGTTGGCCATGGTTGATCACGGAGACGACTGTGACCAAAATGCATTAAGTCGAACACGATCGTTGGAGGAGTCAGGTCGATAAATAAATTGATCAGATTTGAAACCACTTGAAACAGCCTCGATGCAAGAATCGATCAAAATCGATGTAGTAGTCCAATAAGGGCGATTCATGAGTCGAGCAGGGTCGATACATGTGTCAATCAAGGTTGATACAAGAGTCATTCAATTCTTATTATTGGCTCAAGTTATGTAGGCCGACAAAAGGTTTTCGTTCACAAAAGTTGACATAAAATAACCAGAATAATCGATATATGAGTCGGGTTCGAAATAGTTTTTTCATGACTCGATACTTATGTCAACCAGATCAAAATATTAGTCCACCAGGGGTCGATATTTGGGTCGATCAAGGAGAATTGGAACGACTTGACTACCGCTAACGGATTAGGTTTTTTTGGGCTAGTGTCTTCATCGTCCGAAAGAGATTTCCAGTTATCAGGTGTGACTCTGGAGATGAAAGAAAACTCGCTTGTATGGTTATTGTTGGTATGCACGCACAGAGTCCACAGATCCCGATTGAATTTGAATAAGATTGCGCTAAAGCGTAGCGCCTTCGATGTTTGACGTTTTGCTTGAAATCTAAAGGCGAAAATCTACTTGCGCGATTTCTGAACAAGACCTTATTTACCGTAAACACATCGAGATTGTTCAGATCCGAGAATACGGATGAAACCGGGAGGTCGTTGAGAGCGGTATGCAGAAATTCTAAAGTAAATATTCGTTTCAAGATAAAGTCAATGAAATTTTTGTTACTGCTCCGGAGGAGCATGTCCCACACAACTCTCATTGAAAAACACTGGATGGAATCAATATCAGATAATTTTATTTAACAGTGAACACATTGTCTGCGTGGCAATTCCAGCTCTCTATACAACGAAGCAAACAGAAAATGTACCTTTGTCAGACCAGATGACGAAAAGCGTTTCTCGCGCAGCAATGAAACGATCTCAGCACATTACACAGGAAATCATAGACAACAACCTAGAGATCAAGCACGTGAATAGTATACCTGATGATTCTTTGCGCTTTGTCCATTCGTAAAACGTCAAACGGGCAGAATTAAGGCAATACGCAGTTTGCGAATGGCAGTTGTCGGTAACCCAAACGCTACAAGGGAAAGAACACCATTAAAGGCTTATCTAGTTTTGAGTTGCTTTGAGCTTAGATGCACCAGTAAAAATGACGCTTGTTCAAAACCTTCACTGGTATCTTTTAAAAGCTTTTTAGGAGAAAATTTTGTTCAAAATATAATGAGTGGACTGCAGAGAGTTTGACCCTCTGACAAAATTTTCATAACTTAGGGCATCCGCAGCAACATCAAGAGCACCAGTATCAGCTGTGTTATAATTGCTCGACGAGTGTAACCATTGGTCGACTGTAGTGGTTTAGGATATGCGTATTGCAGTAAAAATTGGAAGTATTGTTGGCCACTATATCCACCACTGTCGTGCTGTCCGTTTACTTGGAAATGCGAACGTGGGGAGTGACTATTTCATTTTTCAATCGGCTCACTAGAAGTGATGTTTTTAACTCCTGCTTTGGTATTGAGATCATTTTTTTTCCAGCGATTTTGATTTTATCAAAATAAAATGCTAATTCTGCCCTGTTTTCATCAATTTTTGTTTATTTTTGCAAAAGAGAAAGAAAACGAAACGGCGCAAGATACGTTTTCTGAGCTGTCGCCAAACAAATTTCGTTTCAAAGCAATTTTTCTGAAGCAAATGGTCTGACTTCCGCCGTTCTACCGCCGATCTTTCTACTGCGGGTAGAGAGATATCATCCCCTTACCCGGGTTGACCAAAACTTCTAATCATACAATTTCCATTTATGAAAAACTTCTTGTCATACAATTCCATACAATGCCATACGTACAGAACATTGTATGAAATCTCTATGATAAACATTTTTCCATATATGAAAATTGTATGGTAGGTGTTTTTCCATAAACCAAAAATTTTTATTTTTTCTTTCTT